CGCAGTGCAGGGGAGCACTGCAAATCCACCATAACGCTTCTTGCTACTGTGATGACAACTGATGCAAGAACCGCTATTCCGCAATTCCTCTCGAATTTCCTGTCCTCCCTTACTCCACTATGCTAATTTCTAACTAATGGCAGTTGGGTGAGCCGGGATGTGGACTGCCCAAGCTATCCTACCCAGTTTGCCATTTCGGGTTTAGGGCAGAGGTTAAAGCTTTGGGCTTCGAGCGCCACTTGTACTCCGCAACAGCAACCCTCCGGTACCCAGCTACGACATTGGTCCTGAAGCCCCACCCCACAAGATTCACTCAACTTCCTCTTGTCCCTTGGACGCTCCAGGGTTGCTCGAGAATAACACTAACCCTGATATCGCGTTTCAACGAAGGAGCGTACAGCTACTCCCAACCCCCAGTTAAACTCGGAAGCCGGAAATTGAGATCTGTGATCCGAATAGAACTGCCAAGCGAGCGAGGGGCGGTCGTAGCTGCAGCCAGAGGAGCTGTGGTGCCCCGCAGCCTGCGGAAGCACTTTGGCCCAAAAGATAGAGTTGAGACATGAGGAACTGTAGTCGCAACAATGCGACTGGACTAGCCAAAGGCATCGGGTCGAGCAAAGAACGAAGTCTTGGCTTGAAAGTCTCCGGATCTCAAAAAGGATGATCGCAGCTTCGCACGCGCCTTAGGGTCCAAACGTTCTGCGAGTCACGTCGGGGAAGCGCGAAGATTGGATTGTTGACCACCACCTTCCTGCAGTTGCGTCGCTTCTCCCGTACGCTTCCCAACCTTTTCCTAAGGAGAACTCACTTCCAAATGGACTGCATGTGGATAAATCTTGTCGCGCATGTTGCTCACTCTACGAAGGAATTGCAGCTTCCTACATTGGATCAATGTCCAAACGGCAATTCCCTCTTGATCCCTCTTAGAGAGAACCGAGCTCAAAGCAACTACAGTGAATAAGTTCGGCTTGCCGCAAAATGGCAGGACAATGGCACTGCCGGCGTACACCACACCGTACGAGCGAAGCACGTACATGCAGAACCGTCCACTGTAAAGCCAATAGCCTCGGAACCGTGATCGCTTCTGAGGAAACAAAGGGTTTCGGGTCTGGTGCCTTCTTCACCTCAACATTGCAGGTTTTGCTGGCCTGATCCGTTTTGGGACCTCGACGGCTAGAAGGTCCTTTTTCTTTGCATCGCGGTATGACAAAAAACAGAGCAACAAACACCACAACAAGAACCAGAGGAAGGGCAATAGCAAGGACCAAGGAGTTAGAGAGCGATGCCAAAACAAATCCAAAGTCCTCGTCCTGCACCTGCAGACTTGTCACGCACGTTTGACCGACCCACGCTTGAAAGTTGCCCAGTCGCCATCGATCTGCGGATCAAGGCCGATGTCGCCCCGACCCTGCGAGGGGGCAGCAGGATCCAGTCTTAGTTTTTTGATTCTTACTGCTCTCTCCTTCTGTCTGTCTCTCTCTGTCTATTCCTCCCCCTCTCTTCCTCTATGCTAAGAAGGAGCTTCCTCCCGTGCAAATGCCCACCTCTTTGTTAGAGGTGGTTACACACGCGGCCACATGCCGGGGAGCATCCGGCTGCTCTGCCCTTCCCACTGCACGATGCAAAAAACCGCGTCCCTGTAGGAGATGGACCCTAAACCACACTCTGTTGCACTTTTGAAGGAAATCAAGACGCTGTCACAAAGCCCCCGACGACCCAACAGGCAGGGATTCTCTCTGTTTCATTCATTGCACTGCTCGACTTGTGTCCTCTTGTACGGACTTCGGGTCTTCTTCCCCAGGGCATGAGGGGTCTGTTAAACCCCCCGGCCAGTTGGCCCCCCAATTGTTATTATTGGTGGTCTCTCTCTCTCTCTCTCTCGCTCTCTCTCCCTCCTGCTGTCTATCTGTCATTATTTTTTAATTTTCGCTTTCGTTCGCGAACCAATAAATTAAAAATCCATTCGGTTGAATGCAGGCATGCTCCCAATATGCATACATACATACATGCATACTCAGTTCATCTGTGCGTACACACCAACACACACACACGTAAATACACTGTGTGGTGTGGGCGTGTGTCGATACCTCTATGCATACGTACATGCATGCGTGCGTATGTATATACATATATATATATATACATACTGATTGATTTATTCACAGAGAGTGTCAGTGTGGGGGGGGGGGGGCTAATCCGTCTGTTCCACTCATCCCACTCGCTCCGACCGTCCCACTCGTTTCACTCGCTCCGACCGTTGCGATTCGTTGTGCTCGTTCCACTGTTCCAGTCGTTCCACTCGTTCCTTTCGCTCCTCTCGCCCCGTAGTTTACCTGCTCCACTCATTCCTTTCGTCTACAACACGAGTGGCGAGAGCGGGAGTGGCACGAGTATTTACATACATACACACGTACATACATACGTACGTACGTGCGTACATACATACATACATACATACATACATACATACGTACATTTATACATATATATATATGTATATTTATTTTTACTGTTTATTTATTTATATAAATACACCTACGTATCCACAGACACACACACACACACACGCACACACACACACACATGTGTGTGTGTATACATGCTTACACAAATGAGGGGGAGAGAGAGAGACCCGCTTTCTGTACACTTGCACTTCTTGTACTATGCGACTTCTCTACTCCTAGTTACGCACATATGTTATGCTCCATGTGCATATCTCCCCAGGTAGTCTACATCTATGGGCGGGCTTTGTTATTTGCCTTGCTTGCCTGCGGCCGATATGTGAGTGTGCTCACAGTTATTATCTGTGTCTTTCTCCACGAATGTGTTTGCATAGATGAGCTGTCCGAAACTGGATGCTACGAGTATATAGGTGCTGAACAACTCTTCTGTCCAGGAAGCCGCTTCTTGTTGCACTTGCAAACTAGCCAGATGTTGTCCTTGCCCACACCTCCCATCTTTCAGAGCCAAGCTTGTTAAAGGAAAAGCGAGCAACCTTATGCCGTCAGTATCGACTATCTGCGCCGCCATGACTAATTATCATAATTGTTACGGCCCGATTGCAGCTATACACACGCACAGACACAGAGAGAGAGAGAGAGAGAGATATATATATATATAGATGACATATATATATATATATATGTATGCATGCATGCATGCATGCATGCATGCATGTATGTATGTTTATATGAGGCAGGGACCCTCTACGTATCATGCGCACATCTTCTTGGGTTTATGAACTTATTGTTGATGTCATAGAGCAACTTGATTTTCCGTCCCTGTTGTAAAGGTGCTGAATCCATTGACATACTACCCTCACAGTGGCACCTGCTACCATGCGTATAACGGTATCATGTATATGGGGTTTGCAAGGCAGTGGAAGTAGAGTTGTCGTTTTCGGTTCCCAGTACTACCACGCTTCCCACAGGAGAAAATAGTCTTTTTTGTTTTCCTTCGTCTCATCAGGACGGGATGCGAAGTAAAGTAAGTATGTGTTCTCTCCTCGCCACACTTTTCCGGGGACTGAACCAGACAAAACAAACAAGTAGGAAGAGCGTAGAGGGAACAGGGAGGCACAGAGGGGAGAAGAGAGCTCCTACTTCCTCTGCGTTCGTCACTTGTGTTCTTATGTTCTTATGTTATCCTCCCACGTAAGGCTTGATGTGAGTCAAGAGACAGGGAGCAGAGGAACCCATTCCGTTTTCCTCTTCCCCTCTCCTTTGCCTTTCGATCTCCTTTCCCTTGTCACTACTGATTGAGACGAAACAGAGAGCCAGTTCGAGACAGAGACCCGAAGAACTAATGACGAGGAAGCGACAAGAGCGTGAGCGAAGGTGTGGAAAGGATAAACTCAGTTTGCCTTCGACTCCACTCTCCCTCCTGCCTTCAACCTTTGCCATGGGCGTGACTCAATTGTACCCTTTCTCCTGGGAACTATTGCACAACGAAGAAAAAGAGACGAAGAACAGGCAGAGAGACGCACGCTGCCCGGCAGTAGAACGCCGCCGAGCTCCCGTTGAAAGGATGCAGAGTCTTTCCCGAGTTTGTGCACCTGCGCATCCCCCTCGTGGCGAAGCCTCCGAAGCTCCTTTTCGCTGGCAGGCGAGCCAGCCACAAAGTAAGACTTCCAGAGCCTCTCCTTACCTCTTCGTTTGTCACTTGCTCTTCTGTGATCGTTTCTCTTTATACAATGGTTTTGACACTTTGAAAAGCAAAAGGGAGGCGTTCGCATAACACATAACGGCCTCTCTTGCATACATACATACATACATACATACATACATACATACATACATACATACATACATAAATACATACATAAATACATACATATACTTATTTGTTTATTTTTACATACATATACATTCATGCATGTATGTATATGCACACACAAACTATGCGCATGCATGTATACATGCACACGCCACAACATCTGCACCTGCGGTGCTTGTGGCATCGCCCGAGACGTCATGTAAGAGTCAAGCTCCTGCAATTTATGAGTACGCTCAGAACCCTTCTTGTTGATCTTGGTACGAGTAGTTAGTATGGTTAGTATGGCTATCAACCGCAATACATGCAGTATCATCGCTACCGTGATCTCTAGCACTCGCGCGGATTCATGTACGTCTACTTCAACTACTTGCTTCGATTATTCTGGCACATCTGGCGATCCTGCCCTTGACATGGCCATGGTTAGCTTTCTGAAGCTCCGATTAACATTCAAAACCCTCCTCGGGCGCCGCAGAACCTGCATCGATACCTGGGACCGAACCCAGGGGCAGGCAGCTGTGCATTACAGTGCTTGGCCCTGGGACAGCTGGGTACCCACTGCCGCACATGCACTGTCTCAAGGCCTGAAGGTGGAACTTGTCTCGGTTTTCACGCCATCGTTGCGAGTTATTGCTGATTTGTCGCAGTAAGGCTGCTCTGTCCGACTTCCTTTCGAAGCTCTCAGTACCAGGAACCAGGCCTTAGGCCTAGGATTCCGAGAAAAACCGTCATTTGCTGACACTTTGGTTGCTTTGATGGGCTCCGCTCTCCCTCAACAGGTCTGCGACTTTCATGTGGCCACAGCGGCATGCAATGGAAAACGGTGTGTCCCCGTACTTGTTCTCAGCATCCTTGTCAACTCCGAATGCCAGAAGAAGTCGCACCACCTCCAATCGGTCGGCCACGCAGGACACGAACAAAGGAGTGGACCCGGAGTAGTCGGCCTTGTCCTTCGCAAGTGCAGGGAGTGCCACTTAGGGAAGAGGGCTCATGACTCAGTACAACTACGAGCGTCACGACTACCTTTTTGCCGGACTTTTGTCGTCCTTGCTCGCACCAGCCTCGAGAAGGAGCCTGGCCACGTCCGCATGCCCACGCTCCGCAGCCTTCAGCAGAGGGGTCGCCCCTTCCTCGTTGGTGCTGTCTTTGTTGGCATTGGCTTCCAACAAAAGCTGTACGAGCTCGAGGTGCCCCTGCTGTGATGCCACGAAGAGCGGGGTGGAATGGGCCTCGGACTTCTCTTTGTCCGCCCGGGCATCCAAGAGGAGGCGAGCGACCTCAAGGCGCCCAGTCAAGGCCGCCATAAAGAGCGGCGTGGGCCCAAACGAGCGGCCGCCAGGAAAGCACTTGGCATTCCTGAGAACCGTTGACAGTGTCCATGCATTCTACATGTGCTATACGTTATCGGACACGGAAGACGGGAACATGCCTATATAGAAGGTCCAAGCACTGGCCAAGATTCAGGTCCGCCCGTGCTTCCAGCAGCCAGCGTGCCATGCTCAGGTGTCCGTTTTTTGCGGCCACGAGCAAGGGCGTGGACCCCACGATGTCCGGCCTGTCGACGTCTGCGCAGGCCTTAATTCCCACACGACGACACCCGAAGTAAGTTGCGCGTCATGAGAAACAACTTACAGTTAATGCCGGCTGAGGGGCCTCTTGCAACAGCCTCGCGGCTGCCACAAAGCCATGCTCTGCTGCCACGTGCAGTGCTGTCGTCCAGTCGCGGGCAACAGAGAGATCTGCATCCTGCTCTGGAGGCTCACGACACATGAAACCCTGATATGGACCCTGCCTGGCAGAATTCTCACCATGAAAACCCGAAAATCAGATGACACCGCGGTGAAACCATCGCGGCCATCTGTTGCACTCTCGGTCCTGTGGCCGCTGCAGGATGGCCTCCACCTGGGGTTGGGAGTTCACAACTTTTTAGTTTGGAGCCTTTGATGGTCTAGGGTTTCGGAACTTTGGTGTGTCAAGTTGGGTTATGCGGATCAGAGGCTAAGGATAACGGTTTGCAACGGAACTGACAGTAAGTTTAGGGCCTAGGGCACCCTCTGCCTCCGGAAGTTGATCGCGTTCGACAGCGCGTCGTAGCCTAGGAGCTTTTGAGTTGAGCGGGGCCATGGGCCATGAACATCTAGAAAAGCTGCTACTTCTTTTCGGGTATTGAAGCTGTTTTGTGCACCATCCGTGCGGCACATAGTCAGCGAAGCTTTGACATGCTCCAGAAGACGGAAAGAAAGTTGAGCGGGCGCTGTTATACTGAGATGCTGCTGGAATAAGTATCTTCGTGGAACCTTCGTTTGGAACAACCTCTGTGTGAGGCGTAAGGGATCCAAGCTTGAAGGATCAGGGTTGGATTGTCAATCCTTCGGCTTGTAGTTTGCAAGTGTCTTCCCTCGTGTGATATTATAGTTGTTGGTGGAGGCATTTTCAGTGAAAGGAGTGAGATATCATCTCCATGAGGCCCTCTGGCAGTTCGGGTCCACGTGCCTGATTGACCTTTTTCTGCAGGCATCGTGGGAATGATTGGGAATGCTTCGTCCCGTTCCCAAATTCAGGCCAGAACTTGGATGCACACAACGAAGAAGGACGACTGTGATTGATCCTTACCAACATCACTACGGCTGCTGTTTGCAGCAGATTGTGCTGCAATGAATCAGAAGGTCGAGTCGCTCAGTGATCTGCAGGTCCGTGGCATGGCTAAACGGGAGAATCACAAGCTGGAGCCTCGGCTGGGATTGGCAGATGCGTGGAACAAGCACAAGCTGAGCACTATCATTTCGCAGAGGAGTCGCTCTAGTGGCAATTCGAGGGTGGCGTCCTCGCCCAAGAGAGCACCATCACGAAGCAGGCGCTGCCTGAATCTAGACCTGGGGCTTGAGGACCAGAAAGAATTATGTCCAGCAATATAACTTGATGACTAACTGTATGTCATTATGCGTCACACCAGGTGTCATCTTCTGAGAGGTTTGTCTAGGATCCCATTTTGGGAAGCCCTCGGCTCGGCCTCTTGCACTGACTTTGCAGATGCTCTTTGAGGCCCCGAACTGGGGAAGGCCCTGCTGCGACGCGCGCAAACTCCTCGGGCTCGAGAGCCAGGGCGAGTTTGCCCGAAGCCCAATAGACGCGCAACATCCGCTTCCTGGGGTGTCCTACGGTATGGTCCTACGGTTTTCCTACAGAGATCTATGGAGTGCTACTTGAAAGCTATGAGCCGAATGGCGACTGTCCGGAGGCGTGGACTGGGATTGGCTGCCGAGCCGCTCCGTGCGGACCGTGATGAGAACAAAGGAACTTCACCGCCGGCTTCTGAGGGTGGCGGGAAGCTCAGCCGACTGACCTCTCCGCGGACCTGCCCTCCGGCGATTCAAAGACAATTGCTAGTCATTCCAGGACCTTGCAGCCTTGGTGCAAGCATAGCCTGGAGGCAGCTGCACCTGGCACGACACCATGAGCGCTCAAAGCCACACTGGATCGGGAGAGATCGACCGTAGAAGCGGTGCCAAAACCATCCATGAAAGTAACAGGTCTGCAAATTCATAGGATCCCGTCTTCGCACCTCGAAGCCCGGGGAGGCCGCAGCAGCACCGGCCCCACCTGGGGACGCAGCAGAGACGCCGCCGAAGACTGAGGCGCCGAAGACGAGCCTGCTCATTGCAACTAGTCGTGGCTAGCCACTTCTTGTGGTACTGTTCCTCCGGTCCGTGGTTTGGGGTCATGCCTTGTTCTGGCTAGCATTTGCGGCTGCCTGACTTCAGTCACGGGAATAGGAGCCCTATAAACGGCCCAAAGCCCCAAACAGTAATCAACCCGAAGATCCCTAAACCGGAAGGCCTCAGGAAGATGCTGTTCTGGCGATCCCCGCGGAAGGGGTGGTCCTCGCCGAGGCCGGCCATGACCTTGAAGGAAGTGTCTCTTATGGGGTTTAGACACTGACGTCGGTGAAACCTTGAATGAAGCCCTGGCCGGTGCTCCCATGCTCCCAAGTCTATTGGCAAGAGAGCCACCGAGCCGGCAGCCGAAGGTGGTGCGAAGAGCAGTGCACCTTCCGCGCGTCTCAGCACTTCAAGGGCTACGGAGGAACTGTTAAAAGTGACTCTGATTATTCTTGGGTTAGGGGCAGCTTCCGCTCTGCCCCGCCTGTGGTGGTGCGGTAGCTCGGCTCCACACCACCGATGGAACGGAGCTCAGCTCCCGCGGCCGCCGCAAAGAAGCCACCGGGGGGCGGCACCAAGGACACCCTGAATGCATATGCTGCATATGCGAAGTTGCAAAGCACTGTTGCATGATCATGGCTGTCTCGCACTACGGTGGCGCTATCAGAATGCTCTCTCTCTCCTTGTCCACCTGCCCTTGAAGTTCCTCCCTGCATCCCTTGCTGCCGTTCTGCCTGGCTTTCTCGGTCCCCCATATCGATCCGATGCCCTGTCTGTCCGTCCGCCTGCTTCTTGCTTTTTGTTGCCTCTCTCTCTCTCTCTCTCCTTCTCCATCTGTCTCGCACGAAGATAGATGCAACTACAGACATGCTCACCAAGGAGCAGCCGAACCGTGTGCTGGACCGTCTCGGTGATGGGCTCCATGTCTCCAAACACCTCACTCTGTCCATACGGAAAAATTCAAAGTTCGGGCAAGCTTCGGAAGAAGGCCTAGAGAAGCAATCGAAGCGGTGCGACCGGGTGGCCAGTCTCAGGGAGCAACGCCGCATGGCCAAGACCTGGAACGGACGGCAAAACCACAAGCACTCCGCGGAAAGCCCCCGTGGACGGGAAGCGTGGACAGTACCGGAAACTGCGGTGCAGCAGGTTCTCCCTCAACCAAGGTGAACACTCAAAGCTTGCCAGTGGATTCGTCAGCCTTTCAAAAACAAGCACAAGTATCATGTTGAGTGACTCAATTTCCGTGAAACCACTTTACAAGCCCGCTTCTAACACTCAACCCTAGAACCCCTCAACCCCACCCACCCCCCTCCCCCGCTGCATGCCACAGCCTGTGTTGCACAAGCCGGGGCAGCACATGCCGTCCCGAGGAATGGCAGGCACCTGAATGTGAACGTGAGGAAGGTGCCTTCGGCAATTTATCACAACGTGCGTGCACACTCTGTTACAACGGCATCTCGTAGCCTCGACTGCCCTGCAGCCCCGTAAGCAAACGAGCTGCATCGTCGTGTCGCGTTTTATGGTTGTGGTACATGGCTCGGCTACATGTGTCGACCCAGTTGTTCAGTTTGCGTGAGATTTCGGTCTGACATATCTGTCTCACGTTGTCAGTCCCGGCGCTCGGCAGCGCAGGCTTCGTTCAGGTGCCACTGTGTCCTTAGCTGCAGTCCCACGAGACTGCAAATGGCTACGTGCACAGCATTTGGAAGATGGAGGTGGCAATCATGGCGGTTGGTGCCTGCAGTGGTTGGACGGCACCGGCAGCAACGGCGGCAGCCACATCACCAACACCAGCATCACCATCAGCAGCAGCAGCAGCAGCGGCAACAGCAGCATCATCGTCGTGGGATGGGCGCGATGCGATGATGACGATGATGACGACAATGATGATGGTGTTTTTGCTGTTGTTGATGATGGTGTTGGTGTTGGTGTTGGTGTTGGTGATGGTGATGATGATGATGATGGTGGTGGCGATGATGATGCTGATGATGATGACGATGATGATGGCGATGATGGTGATGATGATGATGATGACGATGGTGATGATGATGGTGATGATGATGCTGGTGACGATGATGGTAATGATGATGGTGATGATGATGGTGATGATGATGATGATGATGACTGTGAACGATGACTGTGATGAGGAGGGTGGTGAAGGTGATGTTGATGATGATGGGGATGATGATTGTGAGCGATGATTGTGTTGATTATGGTGGTGAAGATGATGATGATGAGCAGGAGGATGACATGATGATGGTGGTAATGATGATGATGATGGTGATGACGGCTATGATGTTTATTGTGATGCTGCGATGGCGATGACGATGATGATGGCGAGGATGATGAAGCTGATGCTTTTGGTCATGACGCGGAAGACAAGGTGAAGATACTGATCATGGCGGTGGTGCCGATAGAATCCGGTAGTGATTACGCCGGTTCATGGTGAACAGGAGCATGATGTGCATGACGATGAGGGTGATAGTGTGACATGATGACTACTCGGCATCAGCCTACTATCGACAACGACGAAGACGACGCCGACGACAACGTCGGGAGATGATGGCAGTGCAAACCACTACACCCTAGCCATTCGGACATTGATTGAGATCAGACCCGGTGGAACAGGGGAACATCTGAGAAAAGCAGTAGGGCCACGGATCCTGCTGGTCGCCGAAGCCCGAGGGTGCCCCTGACTTCCACATCAGACCAAGGTGCAGAGGCCAGAAAAAAATGTGCAGTCGTCCGCCAGTCACGATGTTCGCACCGGCTTCTGCACGAAGCCTCGGGCACACGCTGAGGTTCGGCTCCTGGTTAGAATTCGGCTTCACTTCATCGCGCGCCTCAAACCGATGCTGGCAGTGTTACCTTGCGCAGCGAGGTCAATCCTTGGGTGCTTCGCGACAAAACATCTTGCCTGAGCAAATCGAAAGTGTCACAGCTGGGGAGCACATCGCTGCCACTCTCCTCAAGGATTTCAGCACCCCCTGCCACGTGGAAGCGGGGTGCCGAGCCAGTGGCACCTGAAGGCGAAGGAACCGAGAGCTAATGGAACTTAGGAGCCTCTTCTTGCTTCTTGAAATCTGCAGGAAGATGAACTGTCACCCACCACAAACTGCGTCGACGAACGCTAACAACCGATATTTCAGGGCTCCGCCTGTGAGAATGTCCTCCTCGAGCCAAGCGGGCGCGTACTCGATGACTCCTCCGAGCGCACAGGAAACAAATGAGTGGGAACGGGCAGAGATAGGAAACTACGTCGGTTTTGCGCCATGTTGTGGATGGTGATTATCTGGATTTGGTGTGGCTGCAAACTCTTGTAGGTACCTGCGCTCGCCAGTTCAGGTCATCGTGGCACGACTGGAAACTTTGTTGATGTGTTCCGCCACTGTGACCCACCGACCTTGTACCGACTTTATTTGTGCTCACGGATTGGATTGAGTTCATGTCATGCCAAGCAACCAAACGGCTTCGCAGTGAGGTCATCCATGGCCCACCTAACGACTGACAGCTGAGGAAGCATCTGAGATCAATCGCTTTTCTACGAGTAAGCATGAGTGCGGATGTTGCCGGCATCTGGTACGATGCATGACACCGACACAGGAACAGCAACCACAATTGCGAATCTCCGTTTCTGGATTTCAGGTGATGCAGTGCAAAAATTCCCTGCACTCTTGCCGGACTCGTCGCCGCAGCCTGGTCGACTACAGTTACAATAGAGTGGGATACATGTCGGGGATTTGGTGAAACAGTGTGACCGTCAACGGCACGAAGGCTCACCATGGCAAGCACAACTTCGCGGTATGTTCTTTTGTACGAGACAGACATACAACACAACATCAGTCTTCCTTTCCATGCAACTCATGGCTTTGTTCTGGATCCCGTGATGCTGGTGGAAATAGGAAAGGGATGAATATTCATGCGTGCTGCATTGGCCGAAAGGATGTCTTCGCAAAACTGGGCGAGATTTGTACTTATACTTATACTTATATATATATATATATGTTTATAGAGAGAGAGAGAGACAGAGACAGGATGAGAGCAATGAACCAAAAAACAAAACGAAAAATAGCTGCATGCACTGCTGTGAACTATGAGCCCAAACATCGATGCTGCTTATCATACAGGCGCTGACCGTTCCTGTGACCATTAGTAGAACCTTTGCCCTCTGCATTGCTCCGATTGTTGCTGCTCCTGCTCCTTGTCTCTCCTGACTACTGCCACAGAACTACTGGCAGAAGTAGACGAACGCACCAGCGCTCTTACCTATATTTTCCCTACTGTTGCTCATACCATTTGTCCCGGTCATCCCTAAAATACGATCTTTCAGAAGAATATGCACGGCGAAGTCACAGCTGCAGGAGTCCCTCCGGAGGCTTCGCTGCAGAGGCCGAACTTGCTGTGAAGGCGACGAGGTCGAGAACCAGTTGGTAGGATGTGGAGGGCTTGAGGCCGCTTCCTCGGAGCATGTCGGACCCCAAAGTGTGGGCCAGGGTTAGCTTTTAACGGTCAAGTCCTCGACAGAAATGCTGTCATGAGGCGGGCAGAGAACACGAGAGACACCTCGCGGAAGTCTGTGCCGCTGGAAGCATCGTGCTCGTACGCGCAGCCCTGCAGGCCAGGATTGCATCAAACTGTCAGGCAAGACAAGCACGCGACCGGTGAGAACTAACGCGCCGAACGTTGCATGAACGCCCGCCGAGCTGAGCGAAATGTGCGGGACCAATCTGGGCTGGAAACTTCGCAGGAAAGCTAGTCCATGGACCCAAATCCCGCGCACGTGTGCGACGAAAACACACACTCATGAATCGACATTTAATTCCTGAGAAGAACAAAGCCTGAGAGTTCGGTGAACCGATCTGTCATTCAAACGTTTCTACACGAGCAGCGGTGTTTGACTGGGTTTTCCCGTGATTGCAATCATTGCTCTGACGATAGTGTTCACACGCATCCGAATACCCCAACGATGAGACGGCGACGACGACCCCCACAACAAAAAACCAGCAGCACCACCACCACTACACCACCACCGCCGCCGCCGCGCCGAAACCGCCACCGCCACCGCAACCGCCACCGCCAACGCCACCGCCAACGGCGCCACCACCACCACCACCACCACCACGACCACCACCACCACCACCGCCACCACCCACC